GAGAGGGAGGGAGAGAGGGAGGGAATGAGGGAGGGAGAGAGAGGGAGGAAAAGAGAGTGAGGGAGAGAGATGATAGATGCTATACACTGTAGATGTATATAAATATTAGATTAGATAATATATGTACCTGACTTGCCAGCAGCCGGAGATGTCCAAAACATGCAGGTACCGGCATACACCTGACACGTACTGCATGGACAAGTCAGTCAGCTGGACAAGATACAAGAATGGTCATGTCATTGAATGTTTTAACATCTGCTTGAATGTTATCTGCCAATGGGATCTTCTTCTCTACTGAATGCTTGTTCCCAGTCCCACATTTAATGTTGACAAGTTTGTGCCAATTACAATTTTGATGCCCACATCCAACATTGTGCAAAAGGCTTTAATTACATTTTAACCTCATTCATCCTATCAAGCAAATGATATACATGAGATATAAACATGAGTTTTATATCTGATTCAGATATTCTTTTTTAAATTAGTTGGTTTGTTACTGTGTGTTACTGTGGGTGTCATTATTGTCATCCATGATAAAGTCAATGTGGCCTTACAGTACATAAATACAGTAACTATACAATCATGTAAATTATGTAATTACTATATAATAGACACAGACATACATTTACATGTACTTAATAGATACAAGTCTAGTGCTAATCTACCAGAATCAGGTTGTCCAAAGACCTGATACCAAACACAGACCTGCAGACATCCACAGAAGTTGAGATGAGTCAGCATACGGCAACAAAACGCCATACTCTTGATCCCTGTATCTGTGATAGCCTAGGGGAAAAGACAGGGTCGTTCATTCATTCTAATCTCCAGCAAAATAATAGTCATGATAAGTTGCAATTGACTGAAAGCATGAGAAATGTACCTCTCAGATTGTATATGTATAGGTGCTCATTGTAAGGCAAAGGCCACTATTTAAGGTGCAAGCGCAGAGGGTCCAGTTTAGTCTATAGAGATGGCAGTTTGAAACCAAAGTCTTGAAATTAAAAAAGGGTTGGATGTTATATATTGAATGAATGACGACCTTTATTGCACATTTTTGCCACACTGGGCTAAGTACAGGTCAAAACAAAACATAATGGAGAAATATATACAAAATAAAACTAACTACCATTACATAAATTCGACTTCTCGCTTTTCAGTTATGGTAGAGATAAATGAACAGATATGTTTATCGATAGAAGGTTGGTCAAGTCGCATCAGGAATATGAATTTTTCTACAGTGCTCAAGTATAGGGAAAGGTAGTATTCACGCAAGGTTCTGCTGAATAGGATGCTTAGTTTTGGTCTAAATGGGCACTCTAGAGGTTGGACTACTGTCAAGCTGCCAATGTGTGTTTTTCAAGGTCTAAAAACCAGGTATACATGTATTTATGCAGGTCTGTACTAATCACCTCCATTGAACAAGCCTTAGAGTAAAAATAATAATCCAAACCTAAAACATTCTTTGCATGCTCACTGAGAGAAGCTTACCTGGCAGTGGGAAATGTCCAGCATCTCCAGTTCCCGCACCTGTGCACAAAACTTCTGCAGTCCCAAGTCTGTTACACCTTCACACTCTGACACTGTCACATCCCGCACCCTTCCACTGCTGCCCAGAGCAGCCAGACCCTGAAACATAAACACATTAGTCTGTCACACCTTCACAATCTGACATGGTTACACCTTCACAATCTGACACTGTCACACCTTCACAATCTGACACAATCTGACAAAACTGGACGTTCTGCTGCAGTACCATGGCAAGCTGCCAGGGGCCCCAAAATCTAATCATTTGAGGTCTCATCAAGACCTACCCACCTACCAAGTATCAAAACATTCCATCAAAGTTATCGTGTTCACAGACACACACTCACACACACACACACACTCGCACACACACAGACACACAAACGCCCCTCAAAACATAACCTTCTTGGCAACGGTAATAAATAAACAAATAAATAGATTCATCCTTTAACAGCATATTAGAAGTAACTTACAGTGTAAAGGATACTTTGTTTCAAGCATCTCTCACTGCAATGTAGTTTACCAGTGCTTAAAAGGCTGCATTGTGATTAAAAGTACTGTCTACTTACTGTGTCCCCAATATGGGTACCAGACAGGTCCACTGAAGTCAGGTTGGGCATGTTCCCTAGCAGTTCAATGCCTGCATCAGTAATGTGCTCACAATAACAAACACTAAGGAATGTGAGATTCTGGCACCTGCAAATACAAGGAAATATGGAAAGGTGGGAAGAGTGTATTATGAAACAATCCAATGTTAAACTAGAAAGGCAGACATTTGCTCCCTCCTTGTTCCAAAATGGACATTCCACATCAAACTTTTGTATGCACACATGTGGTGCTCTTCAATATCAAGTGTTTCAATACCCCCATGTCCCCAATACCCATACAGTGCTTTTCAGTATAGTCTCAAAACCCCCATGCAGTGTATTTCTGATCAGTAAAGTGTTCTGGAAACCCCCAAACAACTATTCGGTAGCAAGTATTTGGAAAGCACACGTGTAATGTATGTGTATTGATTACAATGTACATGTACATGTATGAGGCTGTAATACCACTGGCCAACCAACAACCATACATTGTACATGTACAATATGACATAGTTTACAATTTTCATACATGTACCATGGCCATGGCTGCCATAATGATGATTATTGTTGTTGAGGGCCTAAAATTGTGCTTGCTTAAACACCTACTTTCCAAGCAGAGGTTGGTGGGGAAAATCGTGACATTCTTTATCATGCGCCCGGTTTTTGTCCGCCTTCCCCCGCGGACAAAAACCGGGCGCATGATAAAGATTTTCCCCACCAACCTCTGCTTGGAGAGTAGTATTAACACCTAGTCCAATGATCAACTCACTTTTGTGCTATTCTGAGGAGAGAAACATCACTAACTCTGACACAGTTGGTCAGGTTCATTTCCCTGATCCTGGCACCAGACGGACCCTCCACCACTTGACGCACTCCCGAGTCACTCAGCCTGCAACACAAGACAGATTCACCTACATGTAACATCAGCGCAACAAAAACTTCATCATCACTTTTGCATAAGGCCACACCAATTTAATTTCTTGATTAATGTATTTTCTAGAAAAATAATGGAGCGGGCGGGCGAAAAAAAACAACAACACAGGCCTAGGCATCCTATTATGGCCCAAAATGGTAGGATAGGAGTCATGAAGTCAACACACCAGGCTGGTTCAAAATTTAAACATTGAATTTTGAACTTTTAATGATACCATTCAATTGAAAGATGGAATAACTGTACCAACAAGGAAGAAAATGACTGTTTTCAACTGTCCAGGACAAAATATGAGTATTTTGCATTTGATTCTGAATTCTTTTTTTTTTTTTTTGCAAATCAGAAAAGAATGAAGCGGCCAATCTGTTAACCAGGAAATTAAATTGGTGTGTAAGTATCACATGAAGTTTTATTTTAGTTTTAAACACTTTGCACTATGCATGTGCTGAAGTAATTTATATATCACAAAAGTTCATCTGTGTTGGAAGTTACATCTTTAAAGTTAAAACTTTTGATCCAACACAAAGGAGTTCTCTCAACTATAGCTTTTTACCAGTCACCCTCACTATGATTAACAGTTACAAAATATGTAATTGATTTATTACTCTATATAATTATACAACCATATGAGTCTAGCATATTGTTTCTGATTTAGAATTATCCTAGATGTGAAATCTTTTACAATCAATCTTGTACATTGTACTATGTACATTGTTTGTAATACATCACAGTACATTGTGTAATCTTCAAAGATTCAGAATGCTCTTAGAGAATAATGTAACAGCATATTAACCTGATACAGTCAGCCACATTTAAAACTGAGATGTTTTTCAGCATGGCAAGGTTCTTGAGAGAGATATCTGTTAGCCTGGGACAGTCAGCCAGGTACACATGGTTCATCTGATGACAGAGTTTCACCAACGTCTTCACCACACTATCAGTGATCCTGTTATTCCCTGCAAGAAGTAAACAACAACAATTTAACGGGTGCAATAGCTCAGTTGGTAGAGTGCTCGCTTTGTACCCGGGAGGTCGTGAGTTCAAACCCCGGCCGGGTCATACCAAAGACTTTAAAAATGGTACACAGTTCTTTCTCTGCTTAGCACTCAGAACATATGAGAAAGAGTGTGGGAAGGTCAAACACACAGCACTACCAGCGGACCAGCCCCCTGCTGTAGTGCCTTGCACAACTGTGTGTCGCCCAAGGGCTACGAAATGGAGATGGGCACCACCCTACGCTCAGTATAAGAGTACGGGAGACCTTCTTCTTCTTCTCCCTCAACATGTTGATCTGACAGCGATTTTCAAGTTTTTCTAAATTTAAAACAAAAAAGGTCCCAAAGTACTACAAGATTGTTTGTTTATTTATTGTTTATTTGTTTATTTAACCAGAGAATATATATCCTTGGAGGGCAGTTTTCAATGCACCCTGGGGCGCAATCCCCAAACACAATAAAATAATAACATACATGTACATGTAAAGTAATTGCTGAAGAAACTTATGTACAATCAAGGGGCAAATTGAAATAGGTAACTTAAGCATAAACTTAAGTAAAGCCATGTTGATTTAATTATATGGATGACATCCGCGCGCGCATGAATTTTCGGCCGTTTTCAACCATACTGTAAATCGTGCAAAACAGTTGCTAAATGAGCAAAAATATACCTGGTTGCAAGGAAAACATTTAGAAACAATACCAATTTCGTAGAATGCCAAAATCAAAGGAAAAAAGACAAAAATGTAAAGAAATGAATTCGAAGAGTAGATTATTCGCCATAACATATTCTGTGCCATTTATTCAACCTTCATGACCACGTAGATTTCATAGTGAAAGCAACTTTTTTTTTTTTGCAAAACTTTTTTTTTATTCGCACGCGCGCATCAGTTTTGGGGTTCCCAGAGGATGTCATCCATATAATCAAATCAACATGGCCTAACAGAAGAATAAGCGGTCCAAAATAGGCATACATCAAATAATATCAAATCAGTCACACCAGGCCCATACATGTACATTGTAAGTATACATGTATGTAACAGGCTCTTGTCATCTCACAGGACAACGTATGACTACAATTGTTTTTATTAAGCCAGACTATTTTCATTTTTTGTTCTTTAATGGAAGTAAAGATTGCAACCATATAGGAGTATAAATTGTTTCTTCAAAATGAGCTGTTTAATACACATCTGTATCCAGTACTATATGGCATAAAGGTTCACAAATTTGAAACACTGCAAAAACAAGGCAACTGAGCTCAAAGTCAGATGCTTCTTTTACACGTGACTGTGTACAAATGTACAATGTACATTTGTACCTTCAACTCGGAGTTTCTGCAGTCTTCTGTGTTGAGCCAGGGCCTTGAAGGCAGTGTCTGACAGATTTGCTGACCCCAGCAGGCAAAGGGCACGGATAGATTGACACCTGTCAGTCATCTCCTGTTAAACACAATAATACAGGTGAGATTATCATGAAAGTTCATCTGTGTTGGTAGTAATCATAGTAAAACATGGAACTTTATTCCAACACACGGTTTACAGAGAGATCAAATTTTCAGCGACAACTGTCACCTTCACCAGGATAATTAATGACCAATCACTTCACAACGTGATCTCGCGAGCATGTGAATAAGGTCGCATGTTCGTAAACTGTAACTCTCGCGAGATCACGTTGTGAAGTGATTGGTCATTAATTATCCTGATGAAGGCGACAGTGGTCGCTGAAAATTTGATCTCTCTGTAAACCATGTGTTGGAATAAAGTTTCAATGTTTTACTATAAATTCAGGTGAGAGACTGTGGTAGCGGATCTTGGGGAGTGGACCAAAGCTAACAAGGCTGGACTCCAGGTCAATATAAAGAGGGTCACTTACAATAAAGTTGTTGTACAAAATTGTACAAAACAGTTATTGTACAAAATTAAGTACAAAATAATATAGGTGGCTGGAATTGCGCATGACTGGAATGTAAGAAAATACATCTCTCCATACATGTAGGTCACATGACTATTTTCATTTGATTTGATTTACTGATACTGCAAACAATACAATACTCGTGGGCCACAGGCAGTGGACAGCACACAAACAAGACACACATTAAAGCCTATTAGTAAACAATAATAATAAGTACATAAAAATTACAATTGAGAATCAACATAGATTAGAATATGTCAAGTCAACCTAATATCTACCAGTCCATTTACTAGTACTTGGTACAGTTCATGTGGTTCCTAGCCGCCAGAATGTTCTCGTGTCTGGGGCCACGGTATGAAATTCCCAGCAATTACAGTTTCATGACAATGCATGTAAAGCTTCTTGAGTTATGCTGTTCACAGACAAACAGACAGACAGACAGACAAACGCTACTGAAAACATTCTTGGCAAAGGTAATACTTAAATAAGTGGACTGACCAGTATATGATCATCTGTCAGCATCGGCAAGTCATTCAGCACTAAGGACTGAACAGTAGGGCAGCCCACGGAGACATGGTGGAACCCCACAGAGGTGAGCTGGAACATGATGACAACAAAATCAACTGCTGCACATAATATCATGTTAGTAGATTTTTGGCTTATTTTGTAATAAAAACATAATACTTTTATTCCTGCCAAATCTATCACTAGTAGAGCAATAAAATCTGCAGCCTCTTTGATTGAAAATCCTCTCAAATTAAAGCATGGCTCTTGAGACTTGTAGGATGACCCAGACTGTGGAAAATTGGGATATAAGTTTTATAAAGTTTTAACATGTGTGATAACATGCACAATACAATGTAACTGTTACAGTATACACAGTGGATGGTCCCCTACAGGCATACATGTAAATAAATAATTAGCTAAATACAGTGCTTCTACAATAGAAATACAATTAGTAAACGGCAATGTGTCAGCAATAAACCTTGGTCTTGTGCAAAGTTTTCCCAAGTGGCACAAGTTTTTTGTGTTGTGTGCACCAGACAGTGCACCTGGGTCAGAGTAGTCTGGAGGGTGGGGTCACATCAATTACAAAAGCCTCGGTCACAACCCGCTGTATGTGCTTCTGCGTCCTGTCTATGTGCAAAAACTTGGGCAAACGTAGGGCATCCGTGCGTGGTGAGTACCGCCTCCGTACGGAATCCTACAGATTTGGGAGCACGCAGACACGCTGTAAAACTTTAAGTGCATGTAAAACTTTTTCTGCATGCGGTCTGCGGATTCACTACCCGTACGTACGAGTACGGGTGACGTGCGTGCCCCGTACGCGCCGTCCGTAAGAAGCACGTGTGAGTATGGCCTCCTTACGGTAAAGATGCAATCGCACAGAGATTGTACGTTGTAAGCACGTACAACTCACTTACCACTTGCGCAACGTACGATGCACGCAACCGCTCACGGCCAGACGTGGGGTGCAAACCACACTCTTACACCTTGCGCAACCGTGCGAGTGACGTACGTGTGATGTGCATCAACGCCACTCCTTCCCCACGTTTTCAGAAAAACGTAGCAGACATGCATGGCCTAAAAAAAAAGTACGGACAAAAAGCACAAACGGCAGGTAATGTGACCGGGACTTTACAAACTGGAGAATGAAACATGCAGCAGCCATCACCTGTGTACACCCTGACAGGTCCAGGTGGATGAGTTTCCGACAGCCCTTGCCTGTAGTCAGGTAGTGCAGGCCCTTATCTGTGAACTTCTGACAGTAGGCCAAGCTCAAGTACTGCATGTTTAGACAAGACCTGATGGTACAAGAATAATAAGACGTAAAAAAAGAAACATTAATTTTGTGGTATTAGTATGCGGTAACCTAAATTTTGTTCCTTGCATTTTTAAGTGCGAGTCAATTTCAAAATAGAGTAAATCATCATACATGTTGATATTATAGATAACTTTTGCCACTTATGCTTACATGATATATTTTATCTCAAATATCCTGCTGATATGAAAGTATGTGTATTGGGAATTTAAAAACAGTCTGTCATGTTTGTTTAATCGTTATCGCTTATTCCTTTCTTTTCTAAATTACAAGAAAGTGTTCAATGTACAGCGTCTTGTTTAAAGAAGTACTAAAGTCCAGAAGGGAGTCCTATATTCTGACAGACATTAATATTAGGATTGAAAAATGCATACTACAGTACACAGTAAAATACCCATTTTGCACACAGGTCTTAAAACACAATTGTTTATATAAGAAAGACTCCCCAAATACCCTCTAAAGGATAGATTCAACTGACCAGTTCTACTTGACCATGGATGCTTTGGAATAAATGAGATAAGTGTAATAAGAAATAAGAGTAAGTGTGCTTAACATAGCATGACTGAAATCAATAGGTTTATTGTAGGAATATTTAGGAAATTGGTCATGAAAAACAGGAATTAATGCATGGGTCCCAATGTAACGAAGAAACTCATGAATGAGACCTAAAGGATTGACAAACAGCGCTAGCATGAGAGGTCTCGGACCGGAGTTTCCTTCTGTGTTCGCAGCAATTTGACACCCTCAGCCCGACTGGCTGTCTTTTCTGTACTAAACGCAGGTCAGAATTTTTCACTCTTTTGGTGGAAAGGGGTGCCGTGCCACTTATCAATACACTTGATTGATATTTTGTGCGCTCAATTTATTTAGGGGTACATAAGGCACATCAAAGTACATTTTTAAATAAGGGGTCATTTTTTTGTCATTTTTAACCATGGCTGCATGGAAAAAACAAATTTTCTCAGGGTAACGGCTTAGTACTCAAAGAAGCTCAGAACCTTATGTTTCCAAAATTTGAATTTAATTAAAATCGATGCGACACGTTTACCGCTATCTTCGATGGCCCGAACACACCCACAGCGCATATAGAACGTACCACCCAGGCGGTCAGGCGAAAAGGCCACATAACCATCCGCGCGGACTAATACCAGGAAGTCTTCGCTGGACCACCAGCATTGCGCCACCTATAAAGGCTACAACTAACAGGCTTTTCAGAAAATACAAATATATGTACACAGATATTACGATTTCAGGGATATCGTGGCCAAAACATATCATAAAAAGTCATGTTTCCGGCGATTTACTGCGCACTTACTTAGACTCTTGTCAGATTTAAACTCCGACCCGGAACCTGAAAGCCATGAACCCCACTAGGGCAAATCTGCAGTTACTGTATATAAACCCTAATGCCAATCTACTGCATTCAAATACCTTAAAACATATGATTGACGAATGTACAATGTAAATGTATGCATCATGTCGTTGAACACAGTAATTGAACACAGGGAAACACATACTATAGTACACATTAACACACACAGAGGAATGAACCCAAAAATACCTCCATACCTACCTAATATATAAATATAAGATCATAATAATTATGCAATAAACATGCACCTTGCCAAGGCCCGCATGGCCCCATCACTAATGTCAGTGTATGACACGTTCAGGTAGAGGAGGGCTCGGCAGCCTTCAGCTATCTGTCTGAGGGAGTCATCCTGTAGTCAACAAGGACAGTACATGTACATATTAATTATGACAGTTGTTATTGTAACAAAAATTTGGTAGTTGGAAAATTTGTAGTGGCAAAAGACTACTAGGAAGGCTTATGGATAATACACGTGACTGTAAAAAAACATGACTTGTATATTCTTGGATCCTATGTAAAAGATTATGTGTGCCTAACAATACCTTCATTACTATCATAATATATGATTGTCATCATGATGATAGTAGTGTATGTACAGTACCGTTTGCGTTATAGTTACCCTAACGGCCGTTACTAACACGTTTCTTTTCCGTTCCTTTTTCGTTAGTTTTCCGTTACCTTTTTGTTGGTTTTCCGTTACTTTTTCGTTAGTTTTCCGTTACTTTTTCATTAGACTTCTGTATTCATATTCATATGCAGGCCGCGGTAACATCACAGAATAATGGGAGGAGTACTAATTTACCTCGTGCGGGGCGGGAAATTACCGATACACACCTCTGGAACAGCCGAAGGAATGTTGATCTAGCCTGCATTTTACTATATTGTAACGTTTAAAACGTTTTAACGATCACCGGCGCATCAATTAGATCGACATTTTCTTTTGTCACTGTTGCCCAGGCAAGCGTTTCTATAGTTTGTCAACTTCAACCTATGGAATGAATAGCATAGTGTGAGTCTTTGATTGCTATTATGCATCCATCAATGAACTTGAACAAACTATTTACATCATGATGGTACTTACTGAAAGACTTTTACACTCAGACAAGTTCAAGTCCTGAAGATTCTTGCACTGGCCTGAAGTTAAGAGAACAAGACAGTCATGATAATGGACAAGGTTAAGCAAAGTATCAATTTCAAAATTAGCAAAATGTCCTAATTACACGTTCATGATGACAACATCCTACACATGTGTAACCAAGGGCAACCCTGTCAATCAACTCAAGCTAATCTCTGCCCACTCGCATTCAATCAACTTTCGGTAAACATAATTATAACTACAATTAGTATTACGGTGTCTGAGTGTACTTACTAATAACATTGAAGCTGGCCCTGCGGACACCCCCACAGCCTCTGAGGTTGAGGTGGACGAGGTACGGCCGACACTTTTGCAACATCTGGATCACAACTGGATCAGTAACTCTGTACACAGCACACCACAGAGCAAAGAAAAACATAAAAGTCTTTATTGGTGTACCTTCAATAACTAAGACCAAGGAAAAAAATGTTGCATTTCCAGGAATGTTCCCAAACCAACCCTTGATTCTTCTGCTAGAAAGGCCACAAATTTATCTAACATTTGAATTTTAAACCTTCAGACACTGCATATTCCACGCATTTTCAGAAGCAAGACATTATAATATTGACTTATTGAGTCATGCACTGTGTCCACTTACTTGTTCTTGACCGTGGACAAGTTGACTTTGGTCCAGAGAGCTGGTGATTGTGTCAGAACCTTCCACGAGCGACAAACACGCGCACATCTCACCAGGTCTGCAATGTCAATGTAGGCAAACACCTGCAGCAAGAAAGTCAAGTACAGTCAATATGGGACCACAACTGCATGTAGAACAGTTCATCACAAAAACTTAATGTACCATTCAATGCATTTAATGCTCTTAAGCAGCTTTTTTCCATTAACACTTGACAATATCTATTGGTGTAGCATGTACATATTATATACGTAGAGCATACGGCATTCTGAACAAATTGTAGATGCCATACTGAAGACACTGTTGCACAGGCACTACAATATATCACCTGATGGTGACACAAATTTCTTGGAAATTGTAGGAGTACTACAAGGAAACATCTTAACCCCTTTGTTGTTTATTCATTTAATTGCAGCAGAGGCAGATTGTTCATAATATACATTAATTTGTTAATATTTGGTTGTAGAACTAATTACATTAAGTTCTTGCCTTAAGAGCTGCTTTCCTGGGTAGGAGAGAAATCTCATCTCTGGTCTCCCCTCCCACTCGAGCAGCTAGCGGATTGTCCCCTTCAACAATCTCTCCTCGCTCCAGACGCTAACAGGCAAAACAACACAGCGTAACATGTCATGTGAAGACAAAAAGGATGAAATATTAATACACTATCATGAAAGTTCATCTGTGTTGGTAGTTACATGACTTTCTTTAAAGTCAAAAATTTTGATCCAAAAAAAAAAAATTCTCTCACCTAGAGCTTTCGACCAGTCACTCTGGTCTTCCTCAGTAGACTGACCCAGTGAAGCTTGTCACGTGGCTTCTTTGAAGTGTGACGTCAACACTGGGTCAAAGGTATCTGGGCCCATCACCCTTCATTGAACCGCGACGGGGGCCGACATCGTCTACCAGATACCTTTGACCCAGTGTTGACGTCACACTTCAAAGAAGCCACGTGACAAGCTTCACTGGGTCAGTCTACTGAGGAAGACCAGAGTGACTGGTCGAAAGCTCTAGGTGAGAGAATTTCTTGTGTTGGATCAAAACTTTAAACAATATTTAATAAACAGTTATAAAAACTGAAACTGTAGTGAAAAATTCAAATTACAAACAATTTTCATTCATGTATGTCCATTTTCATAAAAGCTAATCTGCAAGATGATTTAGTTTGAAAAGTAATGACTCAGAGTTGATTCTGTTGTCAACTTATTTGAGATGTCTGGACTGTATTTGCTTTGGACAAATCGTGACCTGAGAAATGGGTCAATTAAGGTGAGGTTGCATGGAACATGAATGTTCATTGAACCATAATAAATGGTGTCACAACCAGGTATCTGTCCTTGGTGCTGAAAGTCTTCACGCTTCTTTCTGTTCTGAATAGTGTCACAATCTGGTGTCTTTCATTGGTACAGAAAGTGTTCATACTTGTTCTTCCTGTTCTGAATGGTTTTACAGCCAGCTATCTGTCCTTGGTACTGAAAGTCTTTAAGGTCTCGGACCGGAGTTTCATTACATCAGTCAACGGAGGTTTCCAGCCGGCTTCCGATACAATTTTGGTTATTGTCCGTCGACTCTATAATTTGGGTAGAAACTGTAGTTAAACGTAAATTTTGGATACGAAAAATGTAGTTTTTTTGCAGTTTTTTCCACGGACCTGCTTGGAAAAAACGAATTTTCCCAGGCTAACGGCTTATATGCTGAAATAGCTTACTATTTCCTGTTTCTGAAAAACAGAAAAAAAAATAGGTTGTTGCGATAAGTTTTTTGCAAAATCCGGTGACGCGAACCCCTAGAAATTCCACATAGAACGCAGCTATTTGGGTCATCAGGCGACAAACCGCATCACCCTTGCTCGCGGACTAATACCAAAAACGCTTCGCTGGCCGTCCAACTTCACCGCGCCGAAAAACACTACAATCCCAAGGCTTTTTGATCAATTCAAAACCTAGTTGAAAATCTACAGCGATCGCCGAGCTATGGGGAGCCAAACCTAGCGTGACAACCTCGCAGATCCGGCGATTTACTGCGCACTATTTGGAACCCTGGTCAGAATTAAACTCCGACCCGGAACCTTAAGTTAACTCTTATTCTTTCTGTTCTGAATGATGAGTATACACATGTGCTAGAGGTCAGACAATATATTAGACTTTCACCCATTCCTCACATCACATCACCTGAGCAATCAGATCACAACTATAATTATTAGTTTGATATTATAGTAATTCTAAAGATTACTAGAAATGTGTACCTCCTCTACACATTCAAGACAATGATCTTATTAATATATATTCAGAACTTCTCCATAATGAACATGAACTACATTTCAGCCATCAAAAAGTCTTCCTAAGGCCAGTTTACCTTTATTGTGTTGTGTACCAACATTTGTACATGGCTGTAAGTAGGATTAGGTTTAAGATAGCATTTTACTGACACGGCTAGCTAGACATGACCGGGTGTTATATCAATATATGTCATATATATTATGTATTATATCATACCCGGGCCGCGATAACGTTCAATAACGGGTTCCGGACCGGGCCGTACTTTACGGTACGGCCCGTTCCGGAACCCGTTATCGAACGCTTCAATGGCTTCCATAAAACGATTCGAACGCGTTTCGCCCTACCCGCTTGTGCCCCTTTTGAAAATTCGAATACACAATCCGGACGTTGGAATTGATGTTGTTGCAGTTTAGGGTTCAGTGGCACCAACTTTTGGCTCATCTTGCATTGAAAGGCGTGTTTTCTTGGGTGGGTATGACATAAATAAAATACAACACAATGTATTCCGCATCGCCCTCAGTCCCGGCCCTCCCGCGAGTCGGATCGCCCGACGGCTGCATCCGACCCGCGGTCGGGCCGATACCTCGGGCGATACGGAATACCCCGTGTTGTATTCTATATATATTTCTGCATCTCATTTAGCAGACTAATGAAGCATGTAATCATGCAGTGTAAGTTTGTATATTTACCTCAAAGTATTCCCTTGTCCTGAGAGCATCCTTCATGACTGAGAACCAGGACTTGAAGATGAGTCTGCACAGGGAGGTGTGGTACACAAACTTGATCTTCATAAAGCCCTCTGAAAATGATCCAAACAACAAATTATTAGATGAACGAAATACTACACAAACACCAGACTATAAACTAATCTATCCTTTATGCACCCAAAATTGGAGTTGTGCACCTAATTTTTTTCTGTGGGTGCACTGGTGCACCCAAATATTTTTGTATGTATTTTTAACATAAGAAATGTATAATAGTATACCAGATATTCTTGGTCTCTAAGTATCAGAAAAAAATAATAAAATCTTTGTTTGTAGATTTTGAAGTTAGCTCTCATTTTAGATTCAAGCTCAGAAGAGGAGCAGTAAGACCTGCAATTTGGTTTAATTTGTTTCATATGGTGCACCCAACAAAATTTTTGTGCACCAATTTTTCTAGGTTGGGTGCACCATGCACCTATAAAAAAATTAATTTCGAGCCCTGAGTGACATTATACATTGCACTAATTCCTCAGTCTGTAGTTCTCAGTCCCAGTAAATTCTTCTGGTTCTTCTTGAGACCAAACAGATATTGATAAATTACTGTCAATGCATTACTTTGGCAATTACTCCGTACACATAATGTACAATGTACTTGTACATGTACACACATCCTTCGGTTCACATACCAGCAAAGTCAAACTTTATACAGCAGCACATTTCTGGCATCAATTTTCTGAAAAAATCTGAGAACCAACAAATCCTGCAAGGTGGTGTAGCCTAATTATAGTAAAAAGGTACTAGTAATCAATGATGTAATGTATTTGAATGAGAAGACCTACAGGTTTTCTGAATACATGTAGATTGTAAAAACACACAGTGGGAAACAGTCCTAATATTATTTAATTATTCATTGACAGTTATATATTATACATGTGTATCAAGACACTTCACAGAAACTCACCTGCATTTCTTCTATTGACAAATCTGGTCCAGTCCTGAAAAACAACAAATTAATACCAGTTAAAACTTCATATTGACCTTTTCTTTGACATTGAACAAAATATGCAAACTACTTACTAATAGTAGGTGACATGGTTTGCAACATTGTCACCCAGACCAACATGAACCAGATCAACAAAAGCACTTAGTAAGTACTGCCCCCTACCAGCCATTTGGTGAAGTGCACATTCATGACTCTGTGCCTGTAGTAGTGCCTTGCTTCCTCCATCCGTCGCATCATCTCCAGTCTCTTCCTTTTCTTCATCATGTGGTACTGCAGCCATGCACTGAACACAACAGTGATGTTTAAAGACCAAATGACACCAAAGTCAGTGAAAATGCATACAAATATCGGAAGTATACATACAATATAGTCACTTGAGGTTTGTTCCAATCATGTCAATGATGATTGAGAAATTGAGCTTGTACGGCCTTCTAAAAGTGAATAACTGGAGCCAGAATTCTGGGAACTGGAGCCATCTAGACGTAAGGTTGCTGAGATATGGGAATTAGTCCGGAATTAAACTGGAATTCCGGAATTAAACTGGACACTGTTTCTAGCAAGCTATCAAATTGCCAGCTTTGGGCATCTCTATTTGCATCTCTGTTATTTTTACATTTCTGTGCTTTTTCCTGAGCTGACATCACTGGGTGACAACAGCTCAGGAAAAAATAGAAATAAAATGTAGAGATGCAAATTGCCTGCCAGTACTGGCTTGTGCTGACTTTTCCAAGGCAGGGCATTAGAATTTGGAATGTAACAGGAGAACCGTGCATATTTCTTGTAAATTTGTCTGTTAGCTACTAGTTCTGTAAATTGCAATCAGCTAAGGTCATATTTTGGTGCCATGAGCCCTTTAATACGTCATTACATGCTGTAGCCAGCAGGGAGTGAGGAACGGATCATGATAAAATACAAATAAACTTTAAGACATTATCTTGAGTTTCATACACTAGTACATTGGAGTTAGTGATATGGAGGGAAAAGAGGTTACTGTATTGAAGAGCATGTTCCAGTACAAGTTAGAAAAATTACATTAATAAATATGATAACCATACTTCTAACTCAGAGAAAAATTAGCTTTTGTTCAGAAACAATGTTACTGGAACATGCCATAGCCATGTTGTTAGACACTGTATTATATCATATCCTTTTTTTCATGGAGATTATAAAGCATTCTTACAGGTCTTGGGAATTCTGATTGTTAGATTAGAAACAGAAAGAAAGAAAACTGTACTTACTAAAAACACATCTTCTTCTTTTTGTCATTATAGAAGTCATATGCCTTGTGGTACATTTCGGGTGTTGGCTGCAAAAAGAATTAGCCAAGTCATGAAAAGGGTTGTTAAATTAAATCACAGATCTAGAGTTTGAACAGAGCATGCCCGTAGCCAGGATTTTGAATGGGGGGTTCTTCCCACTGCTTGAGGGACCAGCGAGCGCCGAAGGGGGGTCCGGGGCATGCTCCCCTGGAAAATTTTGGAAAATGAACCCTCTAAAATGGCATTTCCAGCATTTTGAGAGGATTTCAAAGAGAAAGTCAGAGATAACATTTTCTTGAATGACAAAGTGATCAATTTTCTACAATTCCAGCCTGCTGGTGATACAATTCAGTCCATATTTTAAAGAAAAATCTTGGACTTAAGATAAAAAGTGGACCAAAAAGTGGACCTTTGAGCCTTGTGGGGGGGTTCGTCCGAACCCCGCCTCACTACGGGCATGCAAAGGTTTGTGGTAAGTGTGTGGTAAAAAAGTGATCAAAGAGTTTCTTTTTAAATTAGATCTTACAGACAAAAATTAGTAGTGTAGACTGAAGGTTTAATAATGAACTGTCCACAATGGACTGAGCCCCTTACAAGGAGGGGGTTTCTTAATTGAAATAAAAGGGATGATGGACTATTCAGTCATGATAAAGACTAGAGGGCCTGAGTTTTGGCAGCACAGGCATTGCCAACCTGTTTATTTAATATTAAAACACTTTTAAAAAAGTGGAAAAGTAGAGAAAAAATGCTGGCTCTCAGGTAAGATTATATATAATACTAACAATAATAATTATAAGCAATATAACTAGATATAAGGCTTTGAAGGATCAAATGAAATGAAATCAAACCAACTTAATGGGTTTACAAAGAAAATAGGGTGCTCTAATACTGACAAGAAAGAGTAAGGTACTAAAAATTACAGACCTGTACATTCTCGTCACAGTTAAAGAGCTGCTCCAGGTAACTCTCTGTTACAATCTTCCTGCTGGGTTTCAAGGCTTCTTCTACAAACATGTCCCTGAAAATTATTAGACACCATACAGTGTTTAAATACTAGCAAGTAGAAATCATATAGTATAATATAATACTGTAACAATTAGTGCTGCCCACATTTAGATTCAGGTCCGGATTGTTCAGTTCCAGACTCGTAAGTCGGGACCTAAACCCATGCAAAATTGCATGTTGACAACCTTGCAAGCAGTCTGGGTGAAACTTTGGCCACATAACATGGAGGCTGACGCTTGACAATGCCCGATGGCAATGTTTTCTTCGTTTTGCAGCAAAGACTTTGCAATCTACATGTACATAAGGTTAAATTATTTTAGGTGCTTTGGAAGGAAAAGGTGTATGTGAAATAGTCTTTTATGGTGATAAGTCCAGACTTTTAGGTTTTTTTGGACTTGAACCTAAACATTCTTACAGGTCCAGATTCAAGTCCAGTGAACAGGTACACAGCACTAGTAACAGTATACTATGTCCTATCTGACCTCAGGGCAATCTTCAAGGAAGGATTAAAGTCAATAAAGGTATTGGGCAGAAAGTCTGAAGCATTTACGCTAAGCTATAGGAAGACGTACAACAAGATTCAAATGCTGGTAGACGTAGAAACGGAGGGTGCGTGGGAGTTTAGCTAATTTAAACTAGCTCCCTCAACCGAGATGTGGAATATTGTTTTGATGTTTTAGACATGCTATGATGTGGTCCAATTTTACTGTTTTTTGCGTGGTACAATTACAGTATGCAGGACCTATATAGGTTTGAGAGGGCTACCTAGATTTGAATCTTTGAAAGAGGATAACTCAAAAGAGTGTTGAAGCATCCATGGATAATGGAATTAAACTATACTACAGGGTTCACTGGCCAGCTAGGCTTTGAAGTTAAATCCCTGGTAATATCAGTAGAAGTTTTTGTCACTCTAAGGCCACACCAATTTAATTTCTTGGTTAATTAACGGATTTGCCCTCTTCATTTTTTTCTGAGTGATATGCAAAAAAAAAAATTAAAAATCAACTGCAAAATGCTCATATTTTGCCCTGAACAGTTAAAAACAGTCCTTTTCTTCCTGGTTGTTACAGTTATTCCATCTTTCAATGAAGTGGTATCATTAAAGTTCAAACTCATTGTTTAAATTTTGAACCAGCCTTGTGTGCTGACTTCATGGCTCCTATTGTACCATTTGGGGCCATAATAGGATGTCTAGGCCTGATTTTATTTTTATTTTTTTACTTTTATTTTGGTAGAAAAATCTGTTAACCAAGAAATTAAATTGCTGTGGCATAGGAGATATAAATAAATCACTGTATTCAAAAATGGTTTCCTTTACAGCAGCCTTACCATTGCATGCCATCAAAGTTGGTGTCTATCAGAAGACGAAGTTTGTCAACAATGAAGCGCAGGGAGTCCTCAGGGCAATTCATGGCCAGTCCAGTAATGATGCACTGAAACAATTTTATGGTAACAAATTAATATAAATATTTTACAACGTTTTGTACATTCACAACATTTTTTTATAAATTGCTGAAAACCATGCTGTCCTTTTTTAGCACCCGATTCCAGTGTGGAAAGTGGCTTCCACACCCAGGGGTGCCAGAGTATACAGTGCAATTTTACGGAATACAGTGCAATTTTATGGAATACAGTGCAATTGTATTAGTATAATACAGTGCAATTTTTACGGAATACAAGTTGCAATTTTACTAGTGATGTTGTTATGACGTAACCTGGACCCGGTTTTCCAGGACGCCGCTGACGGAGAGTACTCACATATTTCTGTGATTTTCAAGCAAATTTGGACCATTCTCGTAGATAGACCTTTAAGTTTAATCAAATCACTACATACTACACACAGGGCTTGTTACGTCACAGGGATCATTTCGAATATGCTCGAAAAAGACAGAAGTATGTGAGTCAGCGGCGTCCGCTATCTTGAAACTCAAGGAAAGCAGGGTCCAAGTCACGTGATTCGTCACTAGTAAAATTGCACTGTATTCCGTAAAATTGCACTGTATTCTAATACGATTGCACTGTATTCCATGTTGCACTGTATACTCTGGCACCCCTGTCCTCAGCACTGGAAAAGCTAGCAACAGGAATCCAACAGCTTGGATGACATCGAACAATAGAGAATGAATGCTGATGCATGCCCGTAAGCCAGGATTTTTAATTGGGGGGTTCTTCCCACTGCTTGAGGGTACCTCAAGCGCCGTACGCATCGGAGAGCGCCGAAGGCGCAAGGTTCCTAGGGGGGTCCGGGGGCATGCTCACCCGAAAAATTGTGAAAAAGGAACCTTCTAAAATGGCATTCGTGCATTTTTGAGACCTGGATTTCCAAGAAAAAATCAGAGATAAATTTTTATTCAATGACAAAGGGAGCAGTTTTTCCACGATTACAGTCCATCTTTTCAAGAAATATCTTGGATCTTTACATAAAAAGTGGACCAAAAAGT